TAATCTTTTTTCGGTAAGGTTAGTTGCAAAACCTGACGAGGTTTGATTAAAAGTTGCTTATCAATTTGCCTCCTATTAATCAATTGGATATACAATGGCTCCCGGTTTGACGGGGAGAGGTTTCGTTGTCACTGAATCAATATCCGATCAATCGTGCTGGAGCCTCACACGTAGCAATGTGGTGTGTGGTGTAAAAGTATTCGTTACTACGGCTGATGAAAACTGAACACCCGGATATGATTGAGCACAGACCACTACATGAACAACAGTGCGCAAACGGACCTAAAATAAATCGTAGCTGGTGGATATGTTTCCTGCAAAGTCGGTTTTATTCCCCATGTTCTATTGTCAGTCAGATATATAAGAACATCCACGTGCGACACGCCGGATGGAATGTCATTAAGAAGTCCAGTCGAACACCAGAGTGCAAATCAGTATTGTCAGAGATGTCCCTTAGGATAAGTATTACGAAAGAGATGAAGTCAACCTGATCGTCTAAGACCAATTGAAAAAGATGATGAGAGGCACATGTTATATCGCCAACCACATCTCCCTGCACACAACAAAATACATCCCAACTTCACTCACAAAGCACAGTTCATATCACTCTCCACACAATCACACGAAATACATCAGTCCTGATGTAAATGCGACGCATCTTAAACTGGTCTAACAGATAGGAATTTGAACACGCAGATCCCGGGGTATATCCCATGCTGGGTTAGACGCCGACTGATCGAGTCACATGATCAAAGGTCATTCTTCAATTAGATCCCTCAACCGCCCCCCCCCCACATGCAGCACGCGTCACTAAAATACTCAACAACACTACACTATTATCAACCAAAATTCTTGCCCCGGAACACAGCATATAGCACTAACCTACAGCATCCATCACAGTATGGATCCATCGAAACGATTTAAGAATAATAATAATGTCTTTTATTTCCCTATTTGATTTATTAAGTATACAAATGTACACTCAACTTTCAGAAAGGGTGCCTGGGCAACTACAGAAATAGGAAGACGGGCGGCGATGAAGCGGTTCGAACCCGGAACATTTGGGTCACAGTTTGGTGGCGTAATCAGTTGGCCACCACCCTTGCCTTTATATCTATGTCCACTGCCATATGCACTGCGATTGCCATTCGTGCGAAACCGAATAAAACCCGAAATACGAAATTTCATTAAATTAATTTAATTTAATTATGTCCAAAAAACGGAATTCTCACCAGGACAAAAGTATTTCACCCCCATGGACTTTTACTCATCGATGCCCTTTTATTACTCAGTATAAGATTCCGAATTATCTCTTTATCAATACTATTCCACCCTCTTATCAACGATGCCCTTGTTTCATGTCTGGTTGTGTAAATTCTGGAATGTTGTTGCACCTTTCGAGTAACAATGGCCTTATTTTTTCTGCTGCTTACAAATCTGAGCTGCACTCAGGCTGCGCCATATTTTGAAGTTGAAACATAATAACCAGCATTTCCTTACATACGAGTCGTGAACTATGGCAATATCATGCTGGAAAATAGCTTCAGGGTAGTCATTCGATGCCATGGTTAGCATAAGGTGCCACTTCAATCTAGGGATAGATAAATGTCGGAATCTTGCATTCCTCAAAGCGAGTTTATTTCAGCCATCGTTTGATTAAGCACCCCGTACTATCACGGAGTTTTGCGAATCCGCTTACTGACATACCGCTCTTTCCACAGACCATATCAATAGTGGTTCCATGTGTCAAGTGCATCTAACTTGAATTTCTTTTCTTCCCTAAAGTAGACGAAATTCCATTGATTTGTCATGAATTTGAGTTCGCTTCAAAAGCCTTTTTGTTTATAAAGTTGTCAGAGATTTGCACCTTTTTCATCGTGCCACAGTGTGGTAAGGTCTTGATGTGACCTAAGTGGATACCTTTGTTTTTTAATGGTCACTGGGAGTTGCGTGAGCATGAAGGTAGCTTACACCAATCTCTCAGACAATGATTCACCACTGGAATCAGTTGCCGTGACGAAGTGTACCGGGATTTGTATCGCCCCCGCTTTACAACCAAGTTTGTTGTACGAAATCCATGGGAGGAGCAATACTTTCTTGGTGGTGAGTATCATGTTTCTCTGACACAATTTTTGGTAAAATTAAATATAATTGATTAAAGTTCGCCGCTCAGCGGGTTTTATGCTGACATCAAATTCTTGCTCGGGGAATTTGTGATAATCGGAATACCAAAATCCTACCGAGGTGCGTGAAACGAACTATCAATTCCACTACCCTCCCCTTGGCCGCATTAGAAACCCCATCACTCCTCCCTGTGATATTCGCGTTCTGCTGGTTTACTGTCAACTGATATACATGTTTGTTTTCTGCCGTATAGTAACAANTAGTAACAATTGGGATGTACAAAAATCTAAATCACAAACGTGTTTTCATCCGCAAATTTGTTTGGCCACCCGCCCCTCTCTCATTTTTGATCTTCTTGACCACTGCGCATTATCGATCACCCGACATGCACTTTTCATTCACTGCGAATGACTCCATTTCTTTGTTGGCCCACCAACCTCGTTTATC